CTTTAAAGATATGGTCGATAACTTTGCACAAATTGTGGAGAAAGAAACCTACTATACCAGAACTCTACCAAACGACACTGTCAAGATTACAACATATACAATAGATACATACCGTAAACTGATAAGACATTTACGAGAAGAAGAAATCATTCACCACACTTACCAAATAAAGGAAGAGCGTGCCTATAGAGTGGTAATAAGACATATTCATCACTCTATACCCACAACAGATATAATAAAGGAACTAGAAAAAGCCGGCCATAAAGTTCGCAATGTAACTAACATTCGACACAGGCAAACAAAGGAACCTTTATCTTTGTTTTTCATAGATCTGGAACCCAACAGTAACAACAAAGACATATTCAACCTAGAATTCTTATGTCACACCAAAATAGCAGTCGAGGCACCAAATAAGAGAAACTCAATCATTCAATGCATGCGATGTCAAGCATATGGTCATAGTAAAACATATTGCACTAAACCGCACTACTGCGTTAAATGTGGAGGACAACACAATACAAAAGATTGTAAAAAACCTAGAAGCACTCCAGCTAAGTGTGCACTATGCAAAGAAGGTCACCCTGCTAACTACAAAGGCTGTGTAGTCTACAGGGAACTAGTAGAAAACAGACATTCGCAAAAAAGAGGAAACCAACAGCCTCAAAGACCAACATTCAACAGTCCACATATATATATATATACTGAAACAAATCAGCTAAATACTCTACAGAACCATTAAAGAACATATGCAAACGTGACAGCAAATCAAACAAATCACGATTCAGAACCTAAAACTAATATAGAACAACAACTATTAACATTCCTAAACGAGTTCAAAAACATGTTCTCGCAACTCATGAGTCAAAACAGTATGATATTAAACTTACTAACACAAGTCATTAACCAAAGAAATTCTTAAACATACTTAGAGTTGCCACATGGAACGCTAACGGCCTGCTAAACCATAAGCAAGAAGTAATTACTTTTTTAAACTTAAATAAAATTGACGTTCTGCTTATTTCAGAAACTCACTTTACCGATCTGACTACGTTCAATATTCCGCTCTATACCACATACAGCACACCTCATCCTGATGGTACAGCTCATGGTAGCTCGGCGGTAATCATCCGCAGCTACATATCACATCATGTATTGCCGAATTATGCAACAGAAAAAATACAAGCAACAATCGTTCAAGTAAATTCAACACCATGGCACTTTAACATATCTGCAATGTATAGCCCACCTCGTCACACAATCTCCACAGATGAATACAAAGCCTTCTTCCAATTACTTGGCAGCAAATTCATTGCAGGGGGAGACTGGAATGCGAAACACATACACTGGGGCTCAAGACTCATAACAACAAAAGGTCGTAATCTTCTAAAAGCAATGACCGACAACAACTACGATTGCCACACCAACGGAATCCCTACGTACTGGCCAAGTGATCCAAGAAAACTTCCAGATCTGCTGGACTACTACATAAGCAAAGGAGTGTCCAGAACCAACCGTCTAATAGAATCCAGCTATGATCTCTCATCGGATCATACACCGGTTATTATGAGCCTGAGTACCACAGTTATAAACAGCCCACCACCTCCTCGACTCACGTCAAAAAACACCGACTGGGCAGATTTTCAATCCTACCTAGAAGAAAACACCCATCTTAATCAGCGGATCAAGTCTACACATGACATAGATACAGCAGCTCAATACTTCACCACACTTGTGCAAAAAGCGGCATGGCAATCTACACCACGAACTGAATGCAAACCAACACATACCACAAATGTTCCCCTGCACATTCGCCAACTCATTGCTGAAAAACGTCGTGCGAGGAGAACTTGGCAAAGATCTAGAAATAACATAGACCTACATATATTCAATAGACTACGAAGGCAACTTGGAGTAGCCATCAAAGCTGCAAACAACGAAACCTTCGAACATTACATAACAAATCTTACAGCAAATGACCAGACGTTATGGAAGGCCACTAAGAAGCTAAAGAAACCATACACAACCATTCCTCCTATCCGTAAACCAAATGGCGAATGGGCCTGTTCCAACAAAGAAAAAGCTGACGTTTTTGCTGAACATCTTACAAACGTATTTCAAACAGAGCCAGCAGACCCTGATGAAGAAGTGGAAGAACTAATTAGCGCAGCATGTCAAATGTCCCTCCCAATTAAAAGTTTTACTCCTATAGAAGTTAGGAAAGAAATAAACAAACTCAATTCACGAAAGGCCCCAGGTTATGATTTAATCTCGGCACAAGTACTAAAACAACTTCCTCGTAAGGCCATAACTTTGCTAACAGTTATATTTAACCGCATGCTAAGCTTATCATACTTTCCAAAAATATGGAAATTTGCTGAAGTCATTATGATCCTCAAGCCAGGAAAAGAGCCCAACGAAGTAACATCTTATCGACCTATCAGCCTGCTCCCAACTGTAAGCAAAGTTTTTGAAAGATTACTACTTCAAAGAATATACGCAGATCATGAATTCCTTACATTACTTCCAAAACATCAGTTTGGTTTTCGGGAAAATTACTCCACTACCCAACAAGTTCATCGAATGATAAATGAAATATCAAAAAGTCTTGAAGAAAAGAAATACTGCAACGCTGTATTTCTAGACATCTCACAAGCGTTTGACAAAGTTTGGCACAGAGGTCTGCTTTACAAAGTAAAAATAGCACTATCCAGTAACTATTTCCTCCTACTTAAATCCTACATATCAAATAGATATTTCTCTGTAAAATTCAAAGACCAACAATCCAACCTCTGTCCTTTCAACTCCGGAGTCCCGCAGGGTAGTGTTCTAGGGCCGCTGCTTTTCTCACTCTACACAGCCGATATACCAGAGACCAATAATACTACAATCGCTTCTTTTGCTGACGACGTAGCAATACTAGCCGTAAATGAAGATCACATACAAGCCTCACAAAACCTGCAACATCATCTGAACATACTCAGTGATTGGTATACAAAATGGAGAACAAAAGTAAATAAAACAAAATCAACTCAAATAACATTTACCAACCGTCACAATATATGCCCACCTGTAAGGATGGAAAATATAAGAATACCAACAGTAACAGACGCTAAATACCTTGGCCTCCATCTTGACCAACGACTCACTTGGAAGAAACATATCCAGACCAAAAGAAGGCAGCTCGACTTAAAATTCCGACAAATGTATTGGCTTCTTGGACGTAAATCAAAACTTAACATCCAAAACAAAATTCTTCTATACAAAGCCATACTCAAACCTATCTGGTTCTACGGACTACACCTATGGGGCTGTGCAAAACCAACGTCGCTGAATATTATCCAAAGATTCCAGTCTAAAGTACTAAGATCGATAGTGGATGCGCCATGGTACGTAAGTAACCAAACACTCCATAATGACTTAAAGGTTCCTTTCATCAGAGAAGAAATTCATCGAGCCACGGAGTCACAAAATGAACGTACCATTCACCACGAAAATGAGCTAGTAAGGGAACTATACAATAATGGACCAGCCACAAGAAGATTACATAGAAACTGGCCTCAAGACCTTCTTCAGAACTAAACCAAAGTAGAATAAGGTGAGACATCATTGGATGTCTCCCCTTCACGCGCAAAACCTGTAATCACATTTACTTAATACTCTTTTTTTGATGTAGATTGTAAATAAACATAATTATAATAAAAAAAAAAAAAAATATGTTACGTTATTTAAAAAACATAAATGATGTATCCTCTATATGTTACTGACTTACTAAAACTGGTATTTTCTTATTAATAACTTCCTCTTTCAATATTGGTAACCAGATCCTACTACATTCTGCCGAGGAATTAAAAAATTGCATTTATAAAATACCTTGTGAATGCGATCAGTTTTATTTAGGTGAATCATCAAGGCCATTAAATGTTAGAATAAGTGAACATCAATCTTATATTAAAAATAAAGAATTTGATAGATCTCAAATCTGTAAACACGCATGGGATAATGAACATAGGGTTAAATGGAATAATTCAAATGTAGTCCTAAAAGAAACGGATGGTAAAAAAAGAAAAATCAAAGAAGCGGCTATAATTATGCTAAATGAGGCCAATTGTGTCGCAAATTCCTCGGCAGAATGTAGTAGGATCTGGTTATCAATATTGAAAGAGGAAGTTATTAATAAGAAAATACCAGTATTAGTTAGTCAGTAACATATAGAGGATACATCATTTATATTTTTTAAATAACGTAACATATAAAATCAGAATTTTGATGTTTGCTGAAGGTAAACTAAATTCACGAACAAATACTTACATTATCGGGATAGTATTATGAGGTTTTTTTCCTGGTTTTCCCTCATAATTTACTATGGAATCACTAACAGGAGAATTTTACTATCATCATGTCATGTGTTTGTCTTGAGCTTTTGAACGTTTGACAAGTTAATGTGAGTTCAGATACAGTTAGACGAAAATTAAAAGAAGAAAACTTAAAGCCCAAACGCGCCGCCATCGTTCCACGTGTTCTCCAAAATCATAAATCTTGTTGTTTAGAATTTGCAAGAACACATATTTAGTGAAGTATCGACAACTAAAAATGATCTTTTCACTGATGAGAACAGTTGCACTTGCAATGCTACAAGTTGCAGTTGCAACTTGGAACAATCCCGTTCCAAGGATATGTCCAAAATTTACTTGCAAGCATGCCGAGAAGGATGCCAGTAGTAATAAGAGCTAGAGGGGTAAATACTCATTACTGATTATGCACTTCTTGAAGTTAAAAAAACTTGTTTTAAGCAATTTAAATTAGCATTTAAGTTTGGAGTAAAATAACCTAATTTACCTCATATTAAGCATTTATTTTTATTTGCAATTTTTAAAATTGTTCCTTAAACATTGTTAAAATAAACTCAATTTCACAATAAACGACTTAATTAACCAGAATTTATTTTAAAAAAATTCCAAAATATTCTATATTTTTGTCCATGAGTGTAGTATAATACAAACCTCAATAAAAGATTTCTGATAAGTATTTTTGCTTGTTCTTGATGGTTTGGATAATACATTTTTCTCATCTAATATATTTAAAATTTGATCTGATAATAATAGTTGTTTATAATTTAATGAATACAGCGGTTCTTGCCGAAGGTACTCCAGAATGGCTCTAGTTGTTTCGAAAATATTTTCGTCAATCCATGCATATTTGCCCCTCTCTTTATTTAGTTTTCGTTTGAGACGTAAACGTTTTTTTCTTTTTGCCAATCGTCTTTTTCTTTTGTCTATTTTTTTATAATAATAATCAGCATCCCTTAGTTTTAGATTCTGATCAGTGTGCAACATTTGTTGAAACCTTAGTAATACTTCAGCTGGAAGTTTATTTTGGTATTCAATCCAAGTAGACAGAACTCTTCGCTTCGGAGGTGCAGACAGCTGAACACATCGTGGTGGACAAGGCGACATTTGACATCTTTTTACTTTTTTTGGTTTAGTATCAGATATTTTTTTTCTAATATTCGGCATTGCCAACCATCTCATATATTCATCCTGGGTCATTATACTTCTTTCTAGCATTGTAGGTTTTTTAGTAAGCTTCTCCACATGGTCACCTGTACATAAAAAATTGAGGTTTATTGAGGTTTAAAAATACAGCATCACAGAAATTATTAAGGTTTATATATATATATATATATATATATATATATATATATATATATATAATAGGCACATGTATCATACTATATATAGTAACTTCCATCTGGGCGTGATGACGTATTCGATGATTTGTTAAATGAGGATAGGGGTCGTATGCCAGCTCATTTGAGAGGTTAGTCAATTTTCTATTTAGTAATATAAATATTAACATATTTATTTATACAAAAAAGCTAAAAAAAAGATTTATTTTATTTGAATTTTTGAACAATATTTTGAATTTTTTATAAAAAATTTATTTGACTTATTAAATTTGATTTTGGCTTAAATTAAATGTTCAAAATGCCTCCCACCTGTCTCTTAGCAGTAATTGAACCGATGAGGATGATCTTCTTGAAGGTTATGGATCATTTCTGGAAATTCCAATTTTCTAGAATTTCCATTATAATTATGTTTTTTAAATCCTTTAAATTTTGTGGTCAGTCAGTCATATTAATTACATCTTACTAGATTTAAGTCACGGAACAGACGTAATAAAACTGCAGAAATTATAGAGGCTCAAACATAAAATCAGATCATTGCCTAGTGATCTCAAGATTGATGGCTAGAATTTCAAACATCAGTAAAGAAAATAAGATGGCTAAAAAATGGAAAGTGCGAAAGATAAGAGATGAAATAATTACACAATAGTACTCGAAAAACATCACAAACAGGCTAAGAAATCAAAATGTAAATGAAGAAAGCCAGACAGATATAGACTCCTAATGGATCAGAATAAAGAAAGCCATTAAAGCAGCAGCGAAGAATGAAATAGGAACAGAAATTTGTGCCCGCAAAAATCATGCAAGAATGCAACAAAAAAAATGAAGTCTATAGAGAGATGCTTACCCGACGAACTAGAACAACTGCAGAGAATTACCAGACAAAGAGAAGAGAAGAAAGAATGATACACATTCACTTAAATAAGGAACTTCAATATATAGAAAAATTCAATAGAGAGAAAGAATTCAGAGCATTCTATAAGAAAGTTAACATCAATATCAACAGAAAAGAATTCAAGGTAACCACAAGACAAAGCAGAAGTAAGAATGGCGACCTATTAACAACAAGGAAAGACTATTGAATAGATGGGTGGAATACTTTAACAGGCACTTAATATAGAGAAATAAGAAGAAAACCTAGAAGACGAAAAATATAAGGTAAAGCGAACAGACAAGAAAAAAGGGGAACCACCAACGATTTGTGAAGTTAAAGATGCAGTTAAAAATCTAGCCAGAAATAAATCACCCGGAATAGATAATCTGCCAGATGAACTATATGAAAAAGGTGGCCACGATACCATAATGTAATTACAACAGCTTATAAAAGAAATGTGGTCATAGAAATCCCTCTTGCAGCTTATAAAATATTTTATACAGTACTATGTTACCGTATGACACCATACGCAGAACGGATAGTAGGAAAATACCAGGCTAGTTTCAGAGGTGGTAATTCGACAATTCATCAGATTGCAACCCTGAAACAAATTTTAAAAAGAACACTGGAATATGGCATAAATACATATCACATATTTATAGACTACAAAGCGGCCTACGACCCTGCGAGTAGAAAAGAAATTTTCAAAGCAATGAAAGAGCTAGGAATACGAAATCAGTTGGTAAATTTACCAAAACTAACTGTTGAAAAAGTTGAATGTAGAGTACGAATTTAGAAGACACTGTCTGAGCCGATGAAAACAAATAACAAGCTGCGCCAGAAAGACCCTATCTCCTATATACTGTTTTATCTGGTTTTGAAAAATGTAATAAGTATGCCACAGATCACAACCATTCGTTCAATATACATATAAGAAATTAGTGCCTTGCCTATGCTGATGATATCAATATTGTTGGGAGAACAAGAACGCTGTACAAAAAGCGTATGCAGCATTAAAAGAATCACCTACAAAAATTTGTTTAATAATAAACACCAACAAACCGAAGTATATGAAATAAGCATGAAACCACAAATCCTACGACCACTTGTTATAAAAAACGTAGTCATCGAAGCAGTGGACTAATTTGTATGCCTGGGAGCGCTCCTTAACACTAAACATAATACTACTGTAGAGATAAACCGCAGAATTTACATAGCCAACAGGTGTTACAAGGGCTCAATCTTAATCTCAATCTCAATAATACACCGAGTCCTAACATAGGGTCAAAGACCTGGATTTAAAAATTATGAAAATATATGTTAGTAAAAAAATTTCGAAAGAAAAGTACTAAGGCGAATTTATAGAGCAGTGACTGACAATGGAATGTGGAGAAGACGGTAAAACTTCGAACTTTATGGAATATACCAGGAACCAGATATCGTAAAACATATTAAGATAGGACGTTATATTAAGATAGGACGTTTGGGGTGGATAGGGCATGTAATGCGGATGGAACAAAATGATCCAGCTAGAAAAACGCTCCTTGATAGACCCATTAATCAGCAAAGAAGAGAAATACTCAGAACAAGATTCCTTGATAGCATCGATCAAGACATAAGAAATATGGGAATACGTGCTTACCGGATTAAGGCGATGGATAGAGACGACTGGAGAAAAAATTTTGAAAAAAATAGGACCCACCCAGAGTTGTAAAGCCATAATGATGATGAAATTTTATGATCGTTCGATGTTACTTTTTTATTTTTAGTGGTGTAAGATCTAAAGATCTTATGGGGAGGATTTAATATTTGTACTTTTGCCAATTTACTGTTCCATGTAAACAGGGAGTTGCTTTATCAGAAACAAGGATTTGGCGAATGAAGCATAGATTTTGATTACATAAATCTTGCATTTTTGTGAAAAGCTGCATTCGGCAATCTGGATCATCCTTATTAATGTCCTGGACATTAATAAGGATCATCCATATTCATGAAATAATTTGGGGAATTATAAGCCACACTTAATAATACACCAACATTTATATTTGCATTTATTGGCACACGACATATTTCACGTATCCAGTTTCTCAGAATTTTTTCAGATGCAGTATACTAAACAGTATAAAGGAAAGAGAGCCCTGGCGTATCTCGTTATTTGTTTTAAAAAGTTTCCCTTGGATTCGTACTCTACATTCAACTTTGTCAAGAGTGAGTTTTCTTAAATTTATCAACTGATTTGGTATTTATAGCTGTTTCATTGCTTTGAACATTTCTCATCTATTCACAAAGTCGTAGGCTGCTTTGTAGTCTATAAATATATAATGAGTCTCTATGCCAAATTTCAGTGGTTTTTCTAGAATTTGTGTCAGTGTTGCATTCTGGTAAACTATCGATATACCACCTCTGAAACCAGCCTGGTATTTCCCTACTACTCATTCTGTATATGGTGCCATACTGTGGCATAATATTGTGGAAAATATTTTATACGCTGCATTTAGAAGCTTAATTCCTATGTGGTTAGAGCATTCAAACATATCACCTTTTTAATTACTATTAAACTGGGAATAAGCCACAATTAAAGATAAAAATACGTTTATTGACGTTTCAATTTCCACTTCGGAAATCGTTCTCAAAATACAAACAGTAAATTAAACAAATTTTGTTTTTTTGTTACATAGTGAAAAATTCTTCTAATAATTTAATTTTATCTGACTCATTTATATTGGAAATTCAGACATACCTACATTATGCATTTTAAAATAGACGACTTTAAAATGATATTGCCAATATTGTTGAGTTGCGCTCCTGGGACGACTTTACTTATAAGATAGTTCATTCGATTACATGAAATCAACTTTAACTTGAGAATATCCATAATAATAAAATTAATAATAATATAATAATCTAATAATATAATCCATAACTTAATAATAAAATTAATAATAATATAATAATAGATCTCAAATCTGTAAACACGCATGGGATAATGAACATAGGGTTCAATGGAATAATTCAAATGTAGTCCTAAAAGAAACGGATAGTAAAAAAAGAAAAATCAAAGAAGCGGCTCTAATTATGCTAAATGAGGCCAATCGTGTCGCAAATTCCTCGGCAGAATGTAGTAGGATCTGGTTACCAATATTGAAAGAGGAAGTTACTAATAAGAAAATACCAGTATTAGTAAGTCAGTAACTTATAGAGGATACATCATTTATGTTTTTTAAATAACGTAACATAAAAAAACAGAATTTTGATGTTTGTTGCAGGTAAACTAAATTCACTAACAAGTACTTACAATGTCGGGATAGTATTATGAGGTTTTTTTTCCTGGTTTTCCCTCATAATTTACTATGGCATCACTAACAGGAGAATTTTACTGTCATCATGTCATGTGTTTGTCTTTTTAAAGATGAATTACATGCTATGATTTTTTTTTCTGACGGATATTCTCAAGTTAAAGTTGATTTCATGTAATCGAATGAACTATCTTATAAGTAAAGTCGTCCCAGGAGCGCAACTCAACAATATTGGCAATATCATTTTAAAGTCGTCTATTTTAAAATGCATAATGTAGGTATGTCTGAATTGCCAATATAAATGAGTCAGATAAAATTAAATTATTAGAAGAATTTTTCACTATGTAACAAAAAAACAAAATTTGTTTAATTTACTGTTTGTATTTTGAGAACGATTTCCGAAGTGGAAATTGAAACGTCAATAAACGTATTTTTATCTTTAATTGTGGCTTATTCCCAGTTTAATAGTAATTAATTTACAATGCCCCAAGAAAATAGCTTCAGAACAATATATCACCTTTTTGTGTACGGTGCAAAATATTCCAATATTCTAATCACTGTGGAGGGATTTTTGTGTCCATATTTCTTTTATGAGCTGCTGTAGTGCCATTATGGTATTGTGGCCACCTTCTTCAAATAGTTCAGCTAGGAGGTTATTCGAAGTAATTTTTTTTCTGGCTAGTTTTTTAAAATGTTTTTTTGATTTAAGAATCGTTGGTGGTTTATCTTCCCTCTCATCTGTTCAG